CGGGCGCGCGCGGGCCGGGGAAGGAGGCAGCGAAAGTTGGGCAGGAAACTTTGGGCCCCGCCCCCTCCACCGCCCGCCCCGCCTCTCCCCTCCCCTCCGCTCCTCCCTTCCCTGAGATCCGCTATCTGCCTCATAGGTGACCCCTCCGGCGGCCGCTCCCAGCGAGGGTTCTGCAGCAGAGGCCCCGCCCTAGCCCCCGTCCTCGCCTTCCATTGGCTGTCTTGCTGAATATGCAATAGCGGAGGGCGGGGCGACGGGGGAAAGGGCCGCTAGGGATGCGCTGTAACGCGCGCCGGGCCGCCCCTGTGCAGTCCCTCCAGCCCCACCCACCCCGCGGCCGGAGCTCCGCACCGCCCTGGCCTGATTAATCTCGCGTCTGAGTCGGCCCGACTCAGGTCATCTTGTTCCTTCCCAACTCCTTTCCAGTGGTCTTATCCACACTCCCTCCCCAGCGCTGTGCCCTGTGTCCCTCTTCTCGCTGTTGGTCTGCTTGTTTTTGCCACTGTCTCTTGGTCCCTGTCTCCTCCTCTTGTCTCCGTCTGGTCTGCTGCTTCCCTCTCCTCTCTCGCCCCTCTCGTACTCGCTCTCCTCCTTCCCTCCTCCGCTATCGCCGCAGTACCCTCCCCTCGCACTTAATTCTTTCCATCTGCAGAATCGCTCTGCGGGCCGGCTGCACCGAGGGGGGCCGGGTTCCTGCCCCAGGAAGAACTCCCCGTCCCCACACCCCGCCCTCCCCTTCTCATATTTCTGCTCTCTGCCTGCCTCGCTCTCGCCCCTCGAGTTTGCCTCGGTCTTTAGTGGGTCGCCAAAACCCCAGCCCTGAGCCAGGGGAGCTCGGTCTGGAGAGAGCCCTGTCCTGGTCCCATCTCCGAAGGCCCAGGGCCTTCACCGCTCAGCCACGGGATGGGCTTAGCGGCCCAGCGGCAAGGCCCAGCTCTCTGTGCCCACAAAGCGGAACAGATCGAGTGAGATCCCGCTGCACCTCTCCTTCCTCCAACCCACCTAGAGTCCAGCTCTGGAGTGACCCCACCTGGTGCTCAAGGGCCAGCCTGGCCATCATCTTGCCTTGGAATGCTTGTGAGGTCACCAGCGTGGGGGTTGTGAGCAGAGTCCAAAACAGCCTCCTTGGGAGGATTTCTCCCCCTACCTGTCCTGGGCACCTTGTGCATCCGTGGAGGCCAGGACCAGGGCAGCCTTCGGCAGTGACCTTTGCTGCCAACTAAGAGATCCTTTCACACCTCCATTTTTCTTTGTTTTTTTTTGGGGGGGGGTGTTCAGGGTCTACAGGGTGTTCAGGGTCTCACTACTAGATTGGATTCGTAGTGATCCTCCTGTTTACAGCCTCCCAAGAGCTGGGATTACAGGCACACGCCACCACGCCCAGTCTTAATTGTCATCTCAGCGCGCCCCAGGCTGGCACGGCAGCCCGGGGGATCAAACCCCAGTCCCTGAGCCTCCTTACAGCTCCTCCACTGAGCTATTTGGCTGGCCCTCAAACCTCCATTTTGTCAAAGATTTTGGCAACCAAGGTGCAATTATGAAGACAAATGTTAACACATACACCATCAGACCACAGTGTTTTCGTTCATTGAATGCACATCTATGCAAAGCCTTTTTATCATTTTAAGCTATGTCAAGCCTATTGGCTTAAAAAAAGAAGGGAACCGCTTGTTGAGAATAAGTGTGATGACCTTCTCTAAGTCTTAGAAATGTGCAAGGTTGCCATGGAATTCTGCTTCTCTTTGAGCTTCCACAGGTCAGGGTAGGGTTTGGAACCATTAATGTAGAGCTTCCCTAGACTTTATAGAAAGAAAACTTGCCGGGGAGATAGCTCAGTAGCATAAGCGTGTGCCTGGCAAGGCAAGGTCCTGAGTTCAATCCCTGGTACAAAACAGTTTTTAAAAACTGAAAGAAAACTTCTGTTCAGGAAGGTTATGTCTTCCAATTGCACAGGTAGATAGTTGGGGAGCCATGAGCAGGGCACCAGGCACCCACCTCCTCATAGAGCTCTGTCTCGGCCCAACGCATGCTCTGGATGAAGGTAGCCCTGCTGCGTGGAGGCGCTGAATATCTTCCCTACTGTGGTGTGCAAGTCCAAATTCCTTCAGGGTTCAGGCAAGTGTGAGACCATCACTGGGTGTGGTAGGCCCAGGAGGACAGAAATACTCCTGTCCTGTTTGTTCTCAGCTTGAGACCAACCTCGGCACGGACACTTGCTCTTGTTCTACCTGGTGACAACGCTGATGGCCTCTGCTGCCCTCTCCCCTTTCTCGTTCCTACGTGGAACCTGGTGAGTGGTCAGGAAAGATTTGCTGAGCTGAGGACTGGATGGATGAAGAGATGGATGTGTGGATGTGAAGGCTGAAGGGCTTCTTTGGTTTTGTCATTGTCTGGCCCCCCACATGCACAGCACACCTGCGCAACACATGTGTTCTGTACCCAGTAGGTGATCAATACATGTGAGCAATTTACAGGCAGTTTGCCCAGATAGCAGCTGGCTGACCTGAAGTCAGGCTCACAGCTGACTGCTCAGAGTCCCCTGAGACAAGATGTCCCTTGGGATGGGGTACAGGATGTGAGTGACCCAATGGGTACCAGGGTCCTTGTACCAGGCCAGAAGACTGGACCAGGCTCACACCTGTGCCTCCCTGCCCTATCACATACACATAAGAAGCCTCATGCTGGAAAGGCCAGAGGTCCTAACCCCGGCCCCCACCTTACAGGGGAGAAGGCCCCAGTGAGAGGAAAGGGATTGCCGGTCATCTAGTGAGACTGACAGCTAAGTCACCAGTCCTCAGCACACCCTAGCTCTTCCTTTTTTTGGTCGCAGTCTGGCAGAGACCCCAGTAGTAGCTCTGTCCCCATTTGTTGACCTCAGAACACAATATAGGTGGGAACCCTCTGCTTTGTCTAGTGACTTCATCCACCCAATGGTTGCCAGAATGGGACAATGGAGAAAGGACAGGTTTTGGAGAGCAGATACCTGGGAGAGTGACCTTGGACAGGTCTCTCTCTGCCCTGTCCCTAACCTGTGGGGTTAACAAATGAGAACGTCTCTCTCACCCCTGCCCACTTCTCCACAGACTAGTGCGTCCAATGAGCATGCAAACAGGACGCTGATTTGCTAGCTGGGAGAGGCCAGGCAGTGGGGAAGGGAGTATTGATCGCTTTAGTGATGATCAGATCTGGAGAGGTGGGGAAAAGAGGTAGCTGGAAAATGTCAGCCTCAAAATCTCCTGGGCACTGGACTGCTAGGTGTTTTGGGGAGTTTCGAGCCCATAGCTTTGTGTTCCAAGGAGCAAGGCAGAGTGAACATGAAGAGGTGAAAGGTTCTTTTGAGAGAAAAATCAGCTTTTCTTTTTCTTCCTGTATTTAGGACAGGGTCTACAGGGTCTCATGTAGATTGGACTCCTAGTGATTCTCCTGTTTTCAGCCTCCAAAGAGCTGGGGTTACAGGCGTGCACCACCACGCCCAGTCTCAATCGCCCTCTCAGGGTGCCTCGCAGGCGGGGCCAGCACAGCATGCCAGGGATTGAACCCTGGCCACTGGGCTCTGCTTAAGCAGGTGCTTTAGTCCGCTGAGCTATCAGGCTGGCCCTTGAGAAAATCAGCCTTTAATTTGGGCCCAAAAACACCAACAGAGAGGAGAAGGAGCAGAAGATCTGGTTTTGCTATTCTGTGTAAATTGACTCTGTTGATTTCTCTGGAAAACACCTTTGGTGATTGATGGTGTGCAGGGACCCCGAGGCCCAGGAACCAGCTGCGCTGCCTGGTGTCTGGGAGCACAGCCGAGGGCTCCACAGTCAGGCTGTGATTTGCCTCTTCAGTCCTGGGCCAGAGCCCAGCACTGGGTGCCTTTGCAGGGTGTTGACACAGAAGGTGTCAATTTTCAGCGGAGAGGGCAAAGTGGCAAATCCTCTCCTTGCCTTGCCACTGTCCCCTCCCCCACAGGGGACAGAGGCCGAATGTAGACCTCCTTCCCAGACCTCACCCCAGCTGCTGCCTCAACACAGTCCCCACGGAGCTGCCTCCTGAAGCTACAGTTGACCTCGCGTGAGAATTGGTTGTCATTAGACCTTTCCGTCCTTCCCTCTAGACCCCTTCGCAGTCCCCAGGGTGACTGTGCAGAATTGCAAAAACACCATCCCACCCACAAGGGGCTCAGTCCTGGTTGGAAGGTACCTTTGCAGAGACACACACACACACACACACACACACACACACACACACGGAGTCGGGCCTCATCCCATGGTGTGAGCCCTTGATTCCAGGGCACCCAGCTTGGGGAACACTGTCCAGATTCTGCCCCCTGAGCCCCAGATGTCCTGTAATGCACAGATGGTAAAGCCATAAGGACGGCCTCCAGCCCCTCCCACAAGCTCTTGCTCAGCCTCTGAGAGTCTGAAGATGGGTAGGTTCCCCCAGCCCCGAGCTTAGTCTGCTGCTGTGAGCAGATTCGGAAGGGATGGGACATGCCTGGGCCTTCGGAGATTGTATGACACTGGCCGGCTGCATCTCTTGCCCTGGATCGTTTCCTTGGGAAGCAAATCTTCCTGTGGTTGTGGGGAGGAATGGGCATTCCTAGGGCCCTGGGGGGTGGTTTGGGTTGCTTTCTAGCTGCAGGGGTGGGGGAGGGAAGAAGGGGAGCCCAGCCCCAGACGCCAGGCCTGGGGTGCATGTGGCTTGGCAAACTGGCAGAGCCCTGGGCTTTGGGCTCCAGGAGGAGCCCTGCTCCCAGAGGAGAGACACCCTCAGAAAAGTGGGGGTCCAGGCTGGGCCCTTCCTCATGGGCAGCAGTCACAGTCCTCTCCTTCCCATCTCACATGCACATGGCTAAAGAAGAAAAAGAAGAGGAAGGGGAAGAGGAGGGGGAGGGACAT